AATTGATCCTGGGGAGAGCTGTTCAGTCTTCCTGTTTCCTTCCATGGAATATTAGTTTGTTAATACCTTGAGGTCAAAGTTGAAGGGGTTTTCCTTCTCTTTGTTCTTTTTATCTTGTGTTGTTGAGGCCTGTGGTGGTAGCAGAGAGATGATGATGGAGCTTTCCTTTCTCGTCGCCCTGGTGGCATCTGTTGTGAGTCCTCCTCCCACTCTTTGTTTCTACTTTCCCGGATAAGTACTCTGGGTTTGCATAGACTGGAATTCCACAGAATGTCCTGTTTCCATGCCACATTACCTGTGTGACTTGGGTAAAGATAACCTTTTAAATTTGTTTCCTCATTTGTAAAATGAGAAAAAATGCCCTACCCTGCCCTTTGGTTCTGTGAGACTGTCTGTACGCTGTGAGGTTTAGATGGTGGCAGTGGGCACCCAGCCTCTGTCTCACTCCTGTACTGTCCTAGGCATGTTTTATATTCACTAGGCCTTCATTCTTGATAAAGAAATGGTGGTGCAGATTTCATTCTCTGTCAAGGTTGTAACTTGCTCTCCTTAGGGTAAGGGGGAAAATTCATAGAGATTTTGTTTATATCTTTTTTTTTTTTTTTTTTTTTTTGCAAACATATACCACTTCTTTTCCTCTAGTGTTACCTGTTATTTTTAGTGCTTTGGGGTTTTTTTGATCCTAATAAACTAAGAAGTAATAGGATAATTTTGCCCAACCATTCAAAATGAGAAGTTGAAGCAATGAGACTGTTACTGAGTGACTTAATAATACTCATTGAGCACATCTATGTGCGAAGCTCTGCAGGTATTATCCCTTGGAGCCCTCACAGCACTCTGCTGAGGGGTAGGTTCTGCTTTCCATGTTTTGTAATTGAAAACATTAAAGATTGCGGAGGTTACACATAAGACAACCTTACAATTTATTGTCAAAATCCAGACACTCTGAATTGTATAAAGGCGCTATTATTGGTTGCTCTGGAGCAGCAGGCAAAGCTAAGACAGTCCCCAGTAAACCAGGACACGTGATCATCCCACTTAAGTTACTTGCTCTGGCTTATACAGCTAATCAGAGCTACATTCTACACTGGAAGCTTTCTGGCTCCAAACATACAATTGCTTATTCTATAATGTCTTGTCCGTGGTTCACGGGGTCACAAGAGAGCCAGAACGTTGGCTCCTTCCTCTGCCAGTCACTACTCCACTGCAGCGTGTCCTGAGTATGTCCATTTCTCACTGCCAGTAGCGTGGACCCTTGCAATGAGCGCCTGTTTGCCAGCTTGCTGACACACTGTGCCCTCCTTTTCTGCCAAGGCTGCACTGTTATCAGCAGCGCACCACAGACCCAGCTGCTGTCATAGAGACAGACGTCCTGTGTGGCAGCATTGGTGTGAGCCAGTGAGGCGGTCTCATTTCTTGTGTGGACTGCTGCTTGTTTGCTTGCTCGCTCAAGAAAATTGTAAACTCTTCCTCCTTGTACACACCAGACCCCAGAGAGAGCATAGACAAGTGAGCTGAAAATTAACAGTGGAGACCGATCAGTGCCATGGAGGGTCAGAGCTCAGGGCAGTGGGAACACATGGGCGCTCAGCCCAGAGGAGCAGGAAGCAGGGCGGTGTTCTGAGGCAGCGCTGTCAACAGGATCTGAAGGATGGATGAGGTTAGAGAAGGAAAAAGCACTTTTGAGATATTTTAGAAAAGATCTGGGAGAAAATGGCACAAATGAAAAACTATAGAAGCATGGACTTTGGAATCTGACAAATGTGGTTTTGTGCTCCAGACCTGGAGAACATTACTTTATTTTGTTGGCCTTTTCTGACTTATCTGTAATATGGGAAGTCTATCCAGCTTACTAGGTGTGTATAAGCTGTAAATGAATTGTTCACTTATATTTGATTGTCATTAAATAAAAGTTAATGCTGTTACTATTAACATTTAATTGTCCTAAGTATAGTGTACCTGGAAGGAAGAAATGAGTGGTAACCTGATTAGACTTCAGACATAAAAAGCTTTTCTGCCCCGTTTTATATATGTTTTATGTGAATTTTCATTTCACAAGTACTGATGTAATATGTTGGTCCTGTTCTGAGCAGGCCATAAATATTAACCATCAGCTCCTTGTAATGACCCTGTTGGGCAGGGTGGTTATTTTCACCAGTTTTACAGATAAGGCAGCAGAGGTGCGACAGGCTGAGGAACTTTCCTGGGTCTGAGAGCTAGTCATAGCCAAGTCAGCCTCAGCCTGTGCAGTACACAGCATCTGTCTTCACTGTTGTTCTCTGGTGTGTAAGATTGCTATATTGTTTATTAGCAAATACTGGAACCTAAAAAAAATTCTATTTGTATCAAACATACATAGAAGCATATTGATTTTTCAGTATCACAGGACAGCTCAGTATTTTGATTGAAGCTGAGATATCACATACCTTGTGCTTATTAAAAATATTTAACAAAGTGGAATATACTTTTTCATATATGTGCATGTGTTTTGATTCTTCAGCGGCAGCATCACAGAAACTTAAAACTGTCTATGTCCCAGAACACATATTGGTACTGTATGTCTGAAGGTGCCTGGTTTGGCTCTATCTTTCCTTTTGAACTAGTATAAACAAATCAAAACAGAAAGTCAATCCCCCATCAAGAGCTTCTCTGGTACAGGGACTTTAGTTTGTTTTAGCTTTTTACAATGTGGGTCTCATACCAAGAGACGTTTACTGCGTCTTTTGGAATAAGACAGGGTATTAGAATAAAATACCCTGAAACAAGAACTTGATGTAGCTTAATATTTAGGATTTTTATTCAATTCAGTAATTGTAAGATAGTTTGAATGCTGAGCTAAGGTCTCCCTGGCAAATTGAAGGCTTTGGCACATCAGTCCCTAGTTCTTGGAGGCACGGACTAATAGATGGGGAAATCCTGAAACCAGGACTGGCCCCTTTATGGAGCTAGTTTTGAGTTAACCATTTGGCCATTAGGGACTGTACCTGACGGAGGGGTGTTCCTGTGTGTAAGCTCATGAAGGTAGTTTCTTAGGAGGGATGTCTATTGTGCTTACCCAGTGTATCACTTCCTTGACTGTTGCTTTTATATTTTCTTAGGGAAACCATTTAGTCTTTGCTGTTATTGTCACATTTTAATTTTGGACTTTGTGTCAGAGGAAATAATGGAAACCCCACCATAAAAGTGAATTGTCCTTCATTGTTAAGATCGTGCCTAAAGTTATCCTTTGTCTCTGAAAATACATTACTGTCAGCTAGTTACTGAATTTTCATGTTTAAATAATATCTCTATGTTTTGTTTTGTAGTAGATTTTCTACCAGTGGGGAACATTTCATAAGGATTTTTAAAGTTTTTAAGCTATGTTTGATTGAGTTTTCAGTGTGTCTGGTGTAACTTGAATGTGTTTGCTAAAGGAACTAAAGAGAAAGAGAACTGATTTTTAATATCTTTGGATTATATGAGTGAGAATGTTTTGATTAATTTGATAGCTGTGAAAATACTGTCTTAAAATAAACATTCAGATTGTTACTTGAGCCTCATAAACTTTCTTCTGTTCTTTTCCTTACTTGATAAAGAAAGTCCTAATCTTTTGAATTTTCTGACTTTATTTCCTTTTGGCCCTAGCTATTTACGTAAAACTGGTGCTAGGGGGCTTGTTGGTGTTCAGTAGTGCAATGATTTAAGGAATCAGGTACTCCAAATAGTGATATCATTTATTATTTTTGAAAGGAGATTTATATATTGCTTTTATATTTTCAAACTGTTATATATTTCATAATTTCATTTTATAGAGGAAGCTTCACTAAACAAGAAGTAAATTTTAACATAGCACACAGAGTAGTTGGTCTCTGATTAGCTAAAGATTTCTTTGCAATCATGAATTGTACTAAATGGAGGGTTTTGTTAAGAGGTGGGCAGTTGAGGCATGCAATTTTATTATCCTTAAGGGATTATTTTTTTGTTTGCCTAAATATGCTTGTAAAGCTATCAACATAGCACCAGACAAATAGAACTTATTTGGATGATTTGATACTTTTTTCCTAACTTGCTTTTGAAGAATTATCCAGATTGATGTCTACTAATTATGTGGTCCATACAAGTGCTAACATCTACTTAGTATTCAGTTAGATGCCACCAATGTATAACATAAATTCTGTTTTCTTTACCCATAACTTTCAGAAGTAGTACTCAGTTCAAAGAGCTCAAAGTTTATACAGTTGTGAAAGAACCAGTTGTAAAACTTCAAAAGTATCTGATCGTCTTTCCCTTTAAGATTTATTTCACCCCTAACAAAGGAATACTTTTTTCCTTTTTAATTTCACCTCCTGAAATTCAAGCAGATTAACTAGGAGATTTTAAATTAATATAGGCTAAATTTTCCTTGACTCCAGATCATCTGTACTCCAAGAATAGAGAAAATGAATATGCTAAATTTCTGAGATTTTTCTTTATCTTGATGCATAAAACCAAAGTGCTGCCTTTGAATAGGGGTTTTATTGACCTAATGAGCAGTATACTTCTTGTTTAACACAGGCCACAGGCAGGTAATTTTTATGGAGACTCTGGCACATTATCTGATGCTCGATTATAAGAGTTTATTGTTCTTTAATAATGGAGGTTTGGGACTAGGAGTAGTGATGGTATATGTGGGAAAGCAAGAAATTTCAATGTATGAATGAAATGTTTTTTTTTTTAATAAAAAATTTTATTTTTATATTCCCCATACAATTGCAACCCCCTTATTTTGACCCCAGTCCCTCCCCTAACACCCTCTACCTCCCATAGAGTGTCTCTGGTTCATAGTTTTTTGTTGATTTTGATTTTTACTTTCTTATAGTTTGAATGAAATGTTTTTGTACTCTTCTTAGCGGTAGTGTTAACATTTCTTGCTGAAGACGTTTTTCCTGTGTGCTCTGCTCTCAAATTTAAGGGGATGATATTTTGTGGAAAATTTTTGAACCATGTTTAATTGTCATTGTCTTGTTGCCATTGTTTTCTAGCATCCTCCAGGACAAATAGCAAGGAAATACAGCTCCTGCTCTACTATTTTCCTAGATGATAGCACAGTCAGTCAACCAAACCTCAAGTATACAATTAAATGGTGAGTATATTGATTTTTTTTTTTTTTTTTTTTGCTTAACTGAATACCTTTCTTTGCTTAACCTGATGTCTGACGGATTGGTTGTGGGGTCTGGTATGATAGGAGTGGGCAGGGGGAAACCGTTGGCTATTCAGGAAGACTTCTGAAAATGATTTTGGTAGTTAAAACATATGTGCTCATGACTAATTTTCATAAAAAGACAAAATTTGGAAATTATTTAAATGGTTGACTAATGCACATTTTTTTTTTTATTCATACTTTCTGCTTTGCCTTTCCACATCCTGGCATAACTTTGCTAGTATCTCACCTTCTAAAGAAAATGGGGCTCATATTCCAAGTTTGAAACTTGGGATTATGGTAGAAAGCAGGCCTGATGTAATTGAAAGCACAGCTGCTGCAGTAGAGAGAGCTGAATTCTGAACCTGGCTCTCTGACCCATGAGAAAGGTTTGGGTCAGACCTTTCTTTTGGGGGCCTTGTTTTAAAATTTAGTTTAAGGGCCTCCCCTGGTGGCGCAGGTGATTGAGCGCAGCACTGTGAAGCTGTCCGCAGCCTCGGTTTGATCCCCGGCCAGCCGGCGAGGGTCCCACAATGTGTGCAGACCTCTCCTGTCTTGTCTGCTGCTCCCCTCAGCAGTGTACTTCATCAGTCTGCTTGTTCTGCTCCCTGCTCTGGCTCTGGTGAATTCTCTCACCCTCCCGTGCTTCTGACTGTACCCAGAGCTTGTATAAACAAACAAACAAACAAACAAACAAATAAATAAATAAATAGATAAATCTTTAAAAAATAATTATATAAAATAAAATTAGTTTAAGGGAAGGGGAGTCTGGATAAAATTCTTTCCTGTTGGATGTTTTGGCTTCCCATTTTTTTAATTGGAAGATAAAAAGAAAGGGTTTTCTGTACTATTCAGGCTAACACTGTGATATTTACAACCCTGACAGGGACCACAGAGATCCTGATGTGCTGGGGCCTGTGGTCATCAGTCAGCAGTGAGAGTCTCAGATATTTTATCTTTATGCTTTTTAAAGAAAGTACATGTTCAATAGCAATACATGTTAATACATGAAATGAGTTTCTGAATAAGAAATATTCTTTGCTTTCATTGGGCTGGGTGTTCAGACTGGTCTGAATGTGAATGTGACCCTAAATGACAATCCATCATGGCCCCAGTCAGGCAATGGGACTGTAATAGTCTTCGTGGAAAGTATCCACTTGAAAGGAAAATCGGACCACTTGGAGGGATACTGTCTTCTCTGTATGGGATAGCATGCTTGCAATGGAAAGGTAGCTCCCTCCCTTATTACCTTGGTGTTTAAGGAAAGTGATAAGTGACTAGTGGGCATAAACCAACTCAGCAGCTATATCTGGGGAAAGGTATGCCTGTCAGCTCCACAGAATATTGCCTTGGCTGAGCCACTTAACTGTCCTCAGACAAGATCTATTTACAGGAATGGCAGGAGGGGTGCAAGGGAGGAATGGGAAGTCAGTCACTCTAGGAAGTATTTTCTACACTAAATCAGTTGTGGGGAAAAAAGGAAAGCTCTGAAGATCTGTTCACCCTATGACTGTGGCATCTGCTCCAAGCTCTGGTGATTCCAGAGGGAATGCTGCTGCCTTCCCTTTGACCATCTTCATGGGAGGTGAGGCAGAGAGGAGCAGTAGGCACCTTCCCTTGTAGAGCCAGGAGGCACTCTTGGGATTTATACCTGGGTAGGACCCACTTGCTAGGTGGGCAGCTTGAAACTATTATTGCTAGTGTTGGATGTGAAGACTCTGCCTGTGACATCTGTCACTCCATTAGTCACCAAGGTTAGTTCAACTGCTCTGGCTAGCTCTTCTTTCCTCACTATTTATTCCATGTGAAGCTGCTCAACAGAAGATGAACCTCTGAGATGAGGAGGATTGTTCTTCTCTCAAAGGCACCTCAGTAGTAGTTGCTCTGTCCTGCTAGAACCTTCAAATAAGCTTCAAGATGCACTTGTAGGAAAACATAGGGTAGATAAGTTTCCAGGACTCCAGGCACATTCAAATGAAGTGTTACATGTGGCTGTCTGCCTTTATTTTTAAATGTTACCACTGGTTATGACAGATACTTAGGAGCCCTATTGGAAAACTGGGTGACAATTTGGTATGTCAATGTCAAATATGGGAAGTGCAAGCATATAAGCTTACAAATGTGCATCTATGTAAATCAGCTGTTCTAGCCCATGGCTGTACCTGGTTGCTTAAAAACACCTATGTTTGATATCTCACCCACAGATCCTGATTGAATGTGACAGAGGTGTAGCCTGGGTACATGGATTTTTAAATTCCCTGAGAATATTCTAATAGCCAGTCAAAGCTGAGGACCCTTGATTTTAGTCAATAACTACTTCTTACTCTCCCACTAATGTTCCCTTGAAACTTAAAAAAAAAAAGTCATGGTTGATACTGGGAATAAAAAGGAAAAGCAGGACCAGTTAAGGTAGCTAACTTGTGGGTAAAATCATTGTGAATACTGTGAGTTTCGTAACCCAAAATACATTTTTCTCTTTACCACCAAAATTTGAAATTCTTTCAGTCAATAAACGCCACGGCCTCTTTAAAAAATGCACATTTTGTACTTGGAATCTGGGCAGGGTAGACTCTGATTGAAGTAGTATCGTCAGAACCCTTCCCTGTAAATACCTGATTTTTATACTTGGCTTGGTTATGATGAAGGAACTAAAGAGTAAAAAACATTTTGAGGTGTTAACAAGCTTGGATGAGTTCTTCAGCCAGACACTTTGTGTAAGGGGGAAGGGATTTTCAGAAGGGTGTCAAAAAGGAGAAAGGCAGAGGCTAAATTTGCGTACTGCCTTATTCTAAAATTTTACCTAAACATATCCTATATCTATTAAAGGAAAATTCCTTTTTTTGCTTTTTCTGCCTTCCTTAAATCAGGGGCCCTCTTGAACACCACCTCCTATTACTGACCGGAGCCCAAAAGAGTGAGTCCTTTGCACTTTGTAAGAATTCACCAGAGAGCTCTAGATGTAATTGAACTGAGCAAGGCTTTATTAGAGACTCATGGAGTGGGGGAAAGGAGAATTTAACCTGGTTCCTTCAAGTGAGTTAGGATGAGGTATTTAGAGGGTAAGTTGGAGTACTCCTGACTTAAATGGGGTGCAAGAGGCTGCTCACTCATACCCTGCAGGCACTCCCAGGGTATTTTATCAGTCCAGGCAGCAGTTTCTACATCACTCCCCCTTCTACTGTACTCCCAAGGTGTAGTTTTATCAGCCCTGGCAACAGGTTGGGGTGAGGGTCTGCCTTACTCTCTTTGTTGCTTTGAGCTCTCCCCAGGCTTTACTGGCCTGCCTGTAGATTGAGTGGGGGGACTTCCTTGTCCCCTCTGGGCCTTTCTTGGCTCTCCCCTAGCTTTATCTGCTCTAGAAAGTATTTCCTGGGGTCCATTTAATTTTCTTTAGGCACACCCCCCCCCATCCTAACTGCCTAATTAACTCTGTTGAAAATAGGTTCTTAATACTAAATAATTGATTTGTAAGCTAATTTTTAGAACAAAACCTATGAATAAATTCAGGTTTGCCGAAAGGAACAAACATTAACAAGGTGTAGTTTGGGAATGGCTAGAGGATTGAGTGGTGTTCTAACAGTGAAATAAGTTTAAGTATAAAAAATTTGGGTACTCAGTGGTCTTTTCATAGGCATAATTTCTTTTTTAGGAACTTGATTTTCCTGTCTTTTCCCCAAATGCTACCAACCATGAATTGTGAATTACTAGTTTAGAATTTGCCAACCAATCCTCCCCCTACCCCTTTCCAAATGACCCATTCCCCCCCCCTTTCCAAATCTATATTATAATGAACATAAGAATGATGATCAGAGAAAAGGGACAGAGGGTAGTGAAGAGTTCCACTCACACAGCAGGCCAAATCATCCATGAACTGGGCCTGTGAAGTTGGAGAACAGCTACTTGCCAGCCTGCCTCTCTATCTCCGTGTCACCCCCTCTGCACAGGCAGAGTCCACCTCCTCTGGATCTTGAGAGGTCTTACGATTATCACAGGCTTTGCTGATTTAGGTCTAGGTAAGAAGTGAGACAAGTATTGTGCCGGCAATCATGAATCTCTTGTTTTCTTGATCAAGAAAATAGCATTTCTTTCTTCCAGTCTATGTGGAAAAGCAGTCACGCAAACCCTTTGATTTACATGTACTTCTTGGTTCGTTCTGGCCTTTCCTTGGTGAGACCTCACCTTTTTCTAAGGATGTGGCAGAACTATGAGGCCTCTAAATTTGGGCATTTGTAGTAAAGTCTGAAACCTGATGCTGATTCCATTTCACCTAACTGACTTTGCTCCCAGCAACTGCTTCTTTCAAGAAGATCAACTAAGCTGGTATGTGGAATGGTTCTGTACATAAATTCTCAGTTTGGTTTTTTTTGGATTTTCAAGATAGAACCCTAAATGGAAATTGGCCTACAGAATGGCTCTGTTTTTCATCAAACACTAAGGCCATGGTAATGCCTAGATTTGCTTTGGGTCAGGAGATTTGGAAGGTGTTGAATTTGAAGCCATGAGGATTTTCACTTAAGCTACAGAGCCAGACTTGAGATGAAATTATTGATAAGGAAATAAAAATTGTTGTTTTATAACTTTGTATTTGAAGTTGTGCTTTCATATATTTCATTTGGTTTTAATACAACCCTGTGATGTAGATTATATTGTTCTAATTTATAAATGAGGAAATGAAGGCTCTGAGAAGTAAATGAATTCTAATAAAGAGCCAGGTTTTGAACATAGAATGGTCTGATTTTTAATTCAGTCATCACTCTAGGGAGTGATCACACTCCCTCACAGTGGAAGCAAGAACTACTTTCTCAATCAGATTAATCACTATACCAAACCCAATCATATGAAACATTCAATTTAAATCTAACATTAGGTTAGGAAAAGTCATCATAGCATGACTATTAACTGAATCAAACAGTAATTTCTTCCTTTTTCCCAGAGGCAACATGGTATAAGGAAAGGGCACAAAACCATTTATACATATCAGAAATACTGGCAGCAGAATTTTCTCATATATAAAGTAGAATCAATAACATCTACTATTTTCCACTGCAGGACTGCTAGTGCACATGAAAGCACATTCAAAATCATTATTAATTCTGAAGCCTTTGACTCCAATTACAATTCTGTCATCAGCATAGATTTTTTTTAAGATTTTATGAGATAGAGACTGTATTACTATTGCCTGATTAGTACTTTCAACATTTAGCTGAAATTCTTGAGTAAGTAGTCCTAGAAAGAAAGACATATGAAGGGATCTAATTTCTCTTGTGATAAAGTAAGAATAACTATTGTCAAGTTCAGTTACAGTAAACAGCTGAGGTATATGGACTCCAAAGTACGTGCCCCAGTCGCCCCTTTTACCAAGCTAAAAGGTTGAGGACTCATCCCTCCAGCTCCACATTGATACCGTGGAGGATGGTTTCTATCTCTAAGACCCAAAATACAATCTGATGCAGTCAGTTAGCTCTGTTCTTAGAAGCATAAAAAATGATTTTTGATCTTCTCAGTAAATTTTAAAGCAAAAATGGTAAAAGGATGTAGAAAGGTGACCAAAAGAAAAAACATTTAAAAAAGTTAAGCAGTCTTTACAGCAAAAAAAACCCTTCATTATAAAAAAGGCAGCTAACTGAATGAGAGAAGATATTTGCATGTCACACGTCCAACAAGCAGGTCATATCCAAAATTAATAAAAAATTCATATAACTCAACAACAACAAAAGACCCAATTAAAAAGTCAGCAAAGAATCTGAATAGATATTTCTCTGAAGGAGATGTAGATGGCAATTAGGCACATGAAAAAATAGTCATCATCACTTTTTAGATATAAGCAAATCAAAACTTCAATGAGATATTTTTATATATGGCTATTATCAAATAGTATGGATGTTATCAAAAAGATCAGAAATAAGAAGTGTTGGTAAAGGGAATCCTGGTAATCTGTTGGTGGGAGTGTAAATTGGTGCAGCTATTGTGGAAAACATGAATGCCTCATAAAGTCAAGAATTAAAATACCACTTGATCAAACTGTTCTACTTCTCGGTACTTGTCTGAAAAATATGAAAACACTGTGCACCTTTCTGTTCTTTGCAGCATGATTTATAATAGTCAGACATAGTTGAACAACTTAAATATCTAACAGCAGTTAAATGGATAAAGAAGATGCAGTATATACATAAATACATTGTGTGTGTGTGTGTGTATGTAATGTGACTCAACTATAAGATGAAATCTTGCCATTTGCTACAACATGGATAGACCTTGAGGGTATTACACTCTGTGAAATAAGTCCATACAGAGAAAGAAAAATACCTTATGATTCACTTATATGTGGAATATGAAGAAGCAAAGCAAATGAGCAAATGAAAATAAGTTCTTAAGTATAGAGAATAGATAGTTGCCATAGGGAAAGGGATTTCGGTGAGAGGGGAAGTGGGTAAAGGGGGTCAGTTGTATAGAGATGAATAGAAACTGGACTTTTGGTGGTGGTGGTTATTGTAGTGTATAGAGATGTTGAATTATGATGCAGTATACTGGAAACTTGTGTAATGTTGTAAACCAATGTTAACTCAATAAAAATTCATTTTTAAAAAATGGCTAGTCACTATGAATGATCCTGCAAACTTGATAAGTGAGCAAAGAAACTCAAATTGAAAAAGGTCATACTTTTTTAGCTAGTATGTGAAATATATTTTTTCAAAACATTCAAGGTGAGTGTTGCTGAGAGTAAAATGAAGTAGACACTGATGGGGAAGCGTAAACTGGTGCAGTTTTTCTGCAAAGATATTTGGCAGTATAGGGCCTCCCCGGTGGCGCAGCGGTTGAGTGCTGGGCTTCGAAGCTGCCCGCAGCCTCTGCAGCACCGGTTTGATCCTCTGCCACCAGCGAGGGTCCCACATGGCATGACAGACCTCTCCTGCCGCACCCGCTGCTCCCCTCAGCTGTGTGTTTCGTCTGTCTGCCTGTTCTGTTCCCTGTTCTGTCTCTGGTGAATTCTCTCACCCTCCCGCGCTTCTGACTGTACCCAGTGCTTGTATAAATAAATAAATAAATAAATAAATAAATAAATAAATAAATAAATCTTAAAAAAAAAAAAAGGATATTAGGCAGTATATGTGGGGAGCCATATAATTTTTCATGACTTTAGATCAAGTAATTCCAATTACAAGATGTTTTCTTACAGACATAATAATAGTCATAGGTTGCACAAAAATTTCTCTTTGAGGATGTTTGTTATGGTATTAATTATAATTGCAAAGTAATAGAGCAACTTAAATGTTCAATGTTAGGGGAATGGTTAACTATTGAACAACTATAGGATGGATTATAATCAGCCATTTAAAAAATCATGTTTTAGATGAATGTTTTAATTGATGGTAAGAAAAATGGTAATGAGAAAAACAGGATGTAAATCTGTATACATGTGCAGTTTATGGATAGAAATAGATACCTATGAATCTTAAATGTAATAGTAGTTGTCTTTAGACAGATTTTTTCTTTTTACTTCTAATATTTCAGAATTTCTATAATATGAATATAATACACTTTATAATCAGAGAAACATTACTTTAAAAGGGCCTCCCTGGTGGCTCAGCTGATTGAGCACCATGCTGTGAAGCAGTCCGCAGCCTTGACAGTGCAGGGTTCCATCCCGGCAGGCCGGCCAGCCAGAATCCCACATGGTGTCACAGACCTCTCCTGTTGCACCTGCTGCTCCCCTCAGCAGTGTATTTCTGTCGTCTGCCAGTTCTGCTCCCCACTCTGTCTCTGGTGAATCCTGTCACCCTTGCGTGCCTCTGGCCTGTACCCCAGCTCTTGTAGAAAAATAAATAAATCTTAAAAAAAAAACATTATTTTAAAAAATTGAGGGGAAGGAAGTGTTTTTATTAAATTTTGATCTTTTAAAGTGTAAGATATAATTTCAGGGTAGTGTTACAAGTAAGAGTTTGAGTGTTACAAATAAGAGTTTCAGCAAGTGAATGAGTAAATTGGGCCGATTGCAAGAGGCATTGATTTGAGAGGAAAAATAGCAATTCATTGAGCATAATATTCTGGTCATTTTTCTGATATTGTAAAGATACCACTAACTTTCTGAAATAGTGCTCGAGGAGAGATTTCCAAAGATGTTTACTTTGTACCTTCTGTTTTATATCTAGTGCTTATAAGCAAGGAAAGCTTAAAATCTCAGATATAAAGAGAAATTTATTTCTGAATATCAGTTAAAGTTTTGTTTTTTTTCTGGAAAAGTTTTAATAATTACTGAGGATGAGTGCTAGATTAATTTATTTTGAAGAATGCATCTTTTTTTTTAACTTTTTTTTTAAAATTTATTTATTTATTTACACAAGCACTGGGTACAGTCAGAAGTGCGGGAGGGTGAGAGAATTCACCAGAGCCAGAGCGGGGAGCAGAGCAGGCAGAAGGACCAAAGCACACTGCTGAGGGGAGCAGCGGGCGGCAGGAGAGGTCTGCGCGCCATGTGGGACCCTCCTCCAGTGGCCGGGGAGCAGCCGAGGATTGAACCGGTGCCGCAGAGGCTGCGGACAGCTTCGCAACCCAGCGTTCAACCGCTGCGCCACCAGGGAGGTCCTGAAGAGTGCATCTTGATCAGCGTTCTGAATGGATCATGTGACTTCAGTATTCACGATCATACCGATGTCAGATGAAGTATAATTTTTTTGCACATCCTTATGAAACATTGAACTTTGTTTTTTTATTTTACAGTGTAGCTCTCGCAATATATTATCACATCAAAAACAGGTATGTGGATGATTAATGTTGTGCAGAAAACATCACACATTATCTTCTATTACATTTTTTCTGTTTTTTCCTATTATGCTCTAGTTGCCTCAACTTTTGAATTTTATGTTCTTAATTCGTATATTCATAGAATTTCTACTTAGTGTATTTATCAGGTAAGTGCTAAACAACTTCTGAATCAGAGGAGACCAAATGTGCATTTGTGTTTGAAACCAGCAAAATTTCTTGATAATGTTCAGCCTCTTCACTCTTTTTTGTATAATTTGTTCAAACATTTTATCTTTAAATGTTTTTGTGTAACTTTAGCGTTAAAAATGTTTATAGTTTTAATTCAGTAAAGGAACTGAATATTTTTATGAATATAAAAATATTTTATGAATAAAAAAATATGAATTTTTTTAGAAGCTCTCCGCTAGGTGTGTCTGTAGACCAGTTAATTTAAAAAGTCAATTAAAGGGAATTATAGAAAAATCACTAAAATAACTTTTTAAAAATGTACTCTATACATTTTACATATTTCAACTAAAAAAAGATGAGGGCTCAGCAGATTCTTGCTAGCTTGGGTCTTTATAAAACAAGTATAACTAGGTGCACTCAGAAGAACCTGTCTATATATGTTCAACCCCCCTTCCCTGCTAGTGAAAATGAGCACAGGCATAAATATTCACAGCTTTAGAACAATCCCTGTTATATGTAATGAAAATGAGCTATATACTGTTTTTAATCCTATGGTAAATTTTTAGATCAGAAATTGTAGAGTTGACTTCCTAATTAATGAGTGGCTGTGAAAGCTTCAAATAAATTTCTCGGACATATTGAATGCTCATTATTAACCCTTGAACTTCTTTCCTGTGACCCACCATGTAGTGGTGATTTAAGCAGATTCATCAGTCTGCTCACAAACAATATGTTGAAGAAATTTAAGTCATTTGCTTAGATTGACTTCATTTGAAAACTTAGAAAGTTAAAAATCTAGATTTTTACTTTTATTTCAACTAAGTGTGGTTCATAATTTGTATCTCATTCACAATTCAAACAAATATGACTATTTTATGCACAAAAAAATTTTCACAAATGACTGCATTTCTTACGTTTAGCACAGCCTTCTGTTTTCTTGCAATACAGTTGAACCAAAATTATCTTAAATGATACTTACAGAAAGTGAACTCCATTTTCTATTGTTTCTCCACTAGGGACCCAGATGGAAGGATGCTCTTAGATATTTTTGATGAAAACCTTCACCCTCTTTCGGTAATCTCCTCCTTGTTTCACAATTCTGTTTAATTATTTCTCTTTTGCTCTTATGGGTGGCCAATCATCTGCAAATATTTCCTTTTGCAGAAATCCGAAGTGCCACCAGATTATGATAAACACAACCCAGAGCAGAAGCAGATTTACCGGTTTGTTCGGACACTGTTCAGTGCTGCTCAACTGACAGCTGAATGTGCCATTGTCACCCTGGTGAGTGAGTGCCTTCAGGATGACCAGAGCCATCCTGTAGTTGAGTGGAGTAGGGAGCAAGCAGGGGATCTTCACCAGGTACCCTAGGACAGCTACAGCTTTGCCTAAAAGGTTGTCTTTTTTTTCCTGGGAGAACAGAGAGTAGGTCTTCCAAAAGCATGTAAAGTCTCTTTCACACTACCATCTAAAGTCAATTATAAAACCACATTAAAAACCAATAAATGCTGAAACATTAAATGCAGGTAAGTAAAACATTGGACTGATGGTGGAAAACAACAACCGCCCCCCCACCCTTAACATCCAGTTTTCCTTTTGTTAATTCTCTACAAAGGTTTTACTGTGAATAAGATGTGATGAAAACATGCATCCTGTGTGAATATACCTATTTAGGAAAGGATGGTGTATATTGCTAGCTTATCTTTTGTGGAAACAGTGAGTCTGTAAGATAACAGGGACAACATGGAGGTACTCTGCACTTTAAGTATTAAATAAGATAAACATCTATAATCTGTAATCGTTAAATTCAGTAATTCTTAAACTTTAGGACTCTAGGTTAAATCTCTTGGTAAATATGTTGACAATGGGACTGTTGCTACTGACCTTTTAGTGGTGTACTCAGATAAGAAATTAGCTTTACCTGTGACTGAGCTGTTTTGGGAAGAAATCAGAAAGCCATTCCTAGTAATTTCTGAGAAGAGATTGCTGTCAAATGCAAAGTTTACATCACACCTAAGGGCTCTCTATCTCTGCCACAGAAAGTGCTTTGTGCTCTTCAGCAAACTCAGTTGTTAGCTTGTTTATTAATTCATTTCACCATTTGTTTATTCAAATGGATGTGTTCCTTGAACTTGCCACCTTATGGATAACACAGTCCCTCAAGTAATCACTTACTAATTTAAAATTGATTGTACCTTCTTACTTATACTTAAGAAGCGTCTTTATTATCCAGCTTTGTTCCTCAAAGGATTTCAATTTCCCACCAAAAAACACAACAGGGCAACAGGGTTGAAATTTTCTTTCTTTTTTTTTCCCCCTATCAGTCATTTCTCCTATGTTAACACTTTTTTTTTTTTTTTGAGGTAACATTATTGTACTTATAATATGGTATATAGTCTAGAGATGTAGGACCTCCCCAGAGTCCCCCACCATAGCCTATTGTACTCCCTCCCACTTTGTTCTCTGCCCTAATCCTATGGTAGCCTCAGTTCTGCCATCAGATTTGTTACTGTCTTAGCTTTTTATGACCCTGTATGTTGTTTCTCTATATTCCACATATAAGTGACACCATCTGGTATTTGTCTTTCTCCTTCTGAACTATTTTGCTTAGCCTGATTCCCTCTATTCGCATAATTCCATCCAATGCAAAAGTCAAGAGTTTATCTTTTTTTTTTTTTAAATAAATGGGTGGTTTTCCATTTTATATATACCACCTTTTCCTGCTCCAGTCATCTGTCTTTGAGCACTTAGCTGTTTCCATAGTGTGGCTATGTAAATAGTGCTGCAATGAACAGAAGAGGAAATATTTCCTTTTGAGTTAGTGTTTTTGCATTTTTCAGGTAGATATGTAAGAGTAGAGTTGCTAGGTGATACGGTAGAAACATTTTTAATATTTTGAGGAGCCTTCATACTGTTTGCAAGAGGCTGGACCTGTCTGTATCACCACCACAAATGTAAGAGAGTTCTTTTTTCTCCACATCCTTGCCAGCATTTGCTTCTGGTATTTTTGATATAGGCCATTCACACAGGTATGAGTTGGTATCTCACTATCATTTTGATTTGATTTGCATTTCTTGGATGATAAGTAATGAGCATTTTTTTTTTTTTCATGTGCTTAGTCCATCTGAATGTCTTTGGAGAAGTACTTACTTAGGTTATCTTCCCATTTTTTTGATTGGGTTATTTGATTTCTTATTGTGAGTTGTATGAGTTCTTTGTAGATCCCTTCCAGCTCCATCCATGTTGCTGCAAGTCTAGTAGTCCCAACTATTTATATTATCTTTTGTTTTTCTTGCTGTTGGAGATGAATCCATAAAGACATCACTGAAACCTGTATTGATACTTGGGTATCAATCCCTTGTTGGGCACTTCTTTCGCATTCAGTAGAGTTTTTATTTTAGTGATAGTTTCTTCCGCTGTGCAGAAATTTTTTTTTATTTAAATTTTTTTATATTCCCCATACAATTACAGCCCCCTTATTTTGACCCCAACTCCTCCTTTTCCCGCCCCTACCCCCGATAGAGTGTCTCTGGTTAATAGTTGTTTGTTGATTTTGATATTTTCTTTCTTACTCTTTTTTCCTGATCCCTTATTTAAGTTTTCTAGATTCCTGCTATGAGTGAGACCATCCGGTATTTTTCTTTTCCTTTCTGGCTTATTTCTCTGAGCATGATCCCTTCCAGCTCCATCCATGTTGCTGCAAATTGCATATGTTTTATCTTTTTTGAATGCTGAGTAATATTCCATGGTGTATATGTACCACATCTTCTTGATCCAGTCATCTATTTTTGGGCATTTGGGTTGTTTCCAAAGCTTAGCTATTGTAAATAGTGCTGCTATAAACATAGGGGTGGGGCCTCCCCGGTGGCGCAGCGGTTGAGCGCTGGGTTGCGAAGCTGCCAGCGACCTCTGCAGCACTGGTTCGATCCCCAGCTGCTCCCCGGCCACTGGAGGAGGGTCCCACATGGCGCCCAGACCTCTCCTGCCGCCCGCTGCTCCCCTCAGCAGTGTGCTTTGGTCCTTCTGCCTGCTCTGCTCCCCGATCTGGCTCTGGTGAATTCTCTCACCCTCCCGCGCTTCTGACTGTACCCAGTGCATGTATAAACAAAGAAACAAACAAACAAACAAATAAATAAATAAAGCATGCCTCTATTTAAAAAAAAAAATAATAAAAAATAAACATAGGGGTGCAGGTGCTCTTTGGAATTGATGTTTCTGTGTCCTTTGGGTAAATACCTAGGAGTGGAATTGCTGGATCATGTGCAGAAATTTTTTGTTTGAAGTAGTCCCAACTGTTTATATTATCTTTTGTTTTTCTTGCTGTTGGAGATGAATCCATAAAGACATCACTGAAACCTTTATCATGGAGTGTTTTGCCAGTATTTTCTTCTATGTATTTTTTATTTCAAGGCTTAACATTCAAATCTTTTATCCATTTTATGCATATGGCTGTCCATTTCTCCCTACTTTATTTGTTGAAGAAGCTTTCCTTTATCCAGAGGATACTCTTAATTCCTTTGTTATAGATGAGCTTTCCTTAGAGGTGTGGGTTTATTTTCTGGGCTTCCGATTTTACTCTATTGGTCAGTGTGTTTTTGTTCCAAAACAAACTGTTTTGATTATTTTAGCTTTGTGGTATAAAGTCTGAGAGTGTGTTACCACCATTTTTTCTTATTTTGTCAGTATTGCTTTGGCTATTTGGCGTATTTTGTGGTTTCATATGAATATAATAAAGTTTATTCTGTATCTTTGAAAAATGCCAATGAAACTTTAATGGGAATTGCATTCGATCTGTATATTGCTTTGGGTAAGGTGGCCATTTTAATAATGTTAATTTTTCCAATCCATGAACAGGGGCTAGCCTTCCATTTCTTTGCTTCTTCTATTTCTTTTAAAAGTATCTTACACTTTTCATTGTACAGCTCTTCTACCTACTTTGTTAATTTACTCCTAGGTATTTAATTCTTTATGATGCAAAATTATAAAATGGGATTGTTTTCTGATTTCTTTTTCTTCTAGCTCATTGGAAAGGCAGCTGACTTTTCTATATTGATTTTATAATCTGTCACTTTGCTGCCATGATTTTTTTCCCTGTTAGATTTTTAGTGGAGTCTTTAGGATTTCCAGTGTATACTATCATGTCATCTGCAAATAATGACAGCTTTCCTGCTACTTTCCCAATTTGGATTCCTTTGCTGTCCTTTTCTTGCCCAATTGCTTTAACTGGGACTTCAAGTACTTTGTTGAACAAAGTGGACATCCTTGTCTTGTAAACACATCAAGTGGAAATTCTTTCAGTTTTTCAGATAACAATGATGTTACCTGTAGGTATGTCATATATGGCCTTTATTATGTTATGTTCCTTCTATCTCCAGTTTTTTGAGAGTTTTTAATATAAATGGTTGTTGAGACTTATCATATGCTTACTCTGTATCTGTTTGTATGATCTTAGGGTTTTTATCTTTCCTTTTGTGGATGTAGTGAAAATTACGTTGATTGATTTTCGAATATTGAACCATCCTTGTTTCTGTGGAATAAATCCCACTTGGTCATAGTGTATGATCCTTTTAATGCATTGCTGAATTTGGTTTGCTGAGATTTTTGTTGAGGATTTTTGAATGCCTTTGTGTACATCAGGGTTATTGTTCTGTAGTTTTCTGTTTTTGTGATATCCTCATCTACTTTTGTTATCAGATTATAATTGGCCTCATAAAATGTGTTTGGAAATACTGCCGTTCTTCATTTTTTGGAGGCGTTTGGGAAGGATAGATATTAGCTCCTCTTTGAAGGTTTGGTAGAACTCACTAGTGAAACTCTGGTCCTGGACTTTTGTATTTTGGGGAATCTTTTGATTTGCATCAATTCCCTTGCATGTAATTGGTCTGTTCAGGTTTTCTCTTCCTTTCTGATTCAGTCTCAGATGGCTGTATACTTCTAAGAACTTGCCCATCTCTTCTAGGTTATTCACCTTACATACAAATGATCATAGCAATCTTTAGATCCTCTGAATTTCTGAGACATCTACTGTAACTTCTTTTTCATTTCTGATTCTATTTGAGTTTTCTCCCCTATTTTGTGAGACTAGCTAAAAATTTGTCCATTTTATTTTTTTTAAGAACCGGCTTTTGGTTTCCTTAATCTTTCGGATTTTTTGGTTTTACTTCATTTATTTCTACTCTTATTTTGTTTATTTCCTTCTACTGGCTTTTGGTTTTATTTGTTCTTTTTATTGTTCCTCAAAATGAGAGTTAAGATTGTTTTATTTTGCTCTTGTTTCTTGAAGTGGACATTTATTGCTGTATACTTTCCTCTCCATGCTGCTTTTGCTGTGTCCTATTAGTTCTCATAGTTGGTGTCCTCATTTTCGTTTGTCTCAAGGTGTGTTTTATTTCTTTTTGATTTCTGTCATGAACCCAATATTCATTCAGTAGTTTGCTGTACAGTCTCCACATATTACAGTTTCTTCCAGGTTTCTTTTTTTGGTTTGCTTTCTAATTTAATACCTTTGTTATCAGAGGAGACCCTTGGTATGATTTCAATTTTTTTGAATTTATTGATACTTATTTTGTATCCTAAAATGTGTTCCATCCTGAAGAATGTTCCATGTGCACTTGAGAAGAATGTGTATTCAGCTCTTTTTGGGGGTGCAGTGCCCTATAAATGTTCAGCCTATGTGGTCTAATTCTTTGTCAAAGGCTGTTGTGTCCTTGTTTATTTTCTTTGTGGTTGGTCTGTCCATTGGTGAAAGTGGGGTTGTGAAATACCCAACCATCACTGTGTTTCTCCTGTGTCTGTTTTCAGATTTGATAATAATTACCTTATATATTTTGATGTTCCTGCATTGGTGACTATATATTGATGAGTGTTATATCCTCCTGATGTATTGTTCTCTTCATCATTATATAATGTCCATCCTTGTGTCTTGTTATCTTTTTTAGCTGGAAATCTATCTGATATGAATTTTATCTGATATGAATATGATTGTCCCTGCCTTCCTTTGAGTCCCATTTGCTTGTGGGATTGTTTTCCAACTATGTTTATCTTTGGAGCTCAGTTGCACTTCCTGGAGACAGCAGAAAGTTGGATTTCTGATCCAACCAGCCACTCTGTGCTCTTTGATTGGTGAGTTCAGTCCATTTACATTCATAGTGATTATTGATATATAAGGGTTTGCTACTGCCGTTTTGTCCTAATTCTCTAGTTCTATTCCTTGTTCATGTGTTTGTGGATGTCCTTCACTCCAATTTAGATATGTGAGCTCCTTTCAGTAATTCTTGGATGGGAGGTCTAATGTTTTCAAACTCCTTCAGCTTCTATTTGTATGAGACCTTTTATTTCTTCCTCATATCTGAAGGATAGCCTTGGAGGATAGATTATTCTTGACTTGCAGTTTTTTATCTTTATTTTGATCATGTTATTCCTTTCTCTCCTTGCCAATAGTGTTTCCTCAGAGAAGTCATATGTAAGCATGATAAGGGTTCCTTTATAGGTATCTCTCCAGCTTCAGTATTCTTTCTTTGTTTTGAATTATTTGAAGTTTCACTACTGTGTGTCTTGGTGTATGTCTCCTCATATTTAAGTGACCCCATCTTCTTTTAGCTTTATAAACTTGTGTATTTAGCTCCTTCTCCAAGTTTAGGAACTTTTCCTCAATTATTTCTTTAAATTAGTTCCTGTTCCCTTCTCTCTCTTTTCTCCTTCTAGATTACCCATTATTCTTCTGTTACCTTTGCTCATGTAGTGGGATAATTCTCAAAAGTGTTTCCTCTTCTTTTTCCTTTGTGTTTCTCTCTCTTCTTCCATGAATTCTTTATGCTAATTAGGCATTCCATTTGGTCTATTCTACTTCCATAGTTTTTGCCAGAATTTTTTTCTACTCCATTGATCTTTTACATACCATGTGTCCATTTTTTTATTAAAAGCTTCAATTTTGGGCCTCCCCTGTGGTGCAGCGGGTTGAGTGCAGCGCTGTGAAGCTGTCCACAGCCTCGCAGTACGGGTTCAACGCCCGGCTGGCCAGGCAGATAACCACATGGTGTGTCAGACCTCTCCTGTCTCGCCCGCTGCTCCCCTCAGCAGTGTTTTCGGTCGTTGCCTGTTCTGCTCCCCGCTCTGTGTCTTGTGAATTCTCTCATCCTCCTGCACCTCTGGCCTGTACCCCAGTTCTTGTATAAATAAATAAATCTTTAAAAAAAAGGTTAAATTTCAATCTTCTTCATTAATTTTATTTCTCAGGGCATTCATTTGTTTTTCTGTGTTTTCGTATATCTTCAATGAGTTTTTCTGTGTATTCTTTCATGTCCTTGGGTTTCTTTGTTATGGTAATTTGAAACTATTTGATAGGAAAAAAAAGATCTTCCATGTCTTGTGATTGGTTACTGGAGATTTTGTACTCTATCAGTCATGAAATATTCCACTGAGGACTTAAGGTCCCATGTGTTGTTTACTCCATCTACCCATTATCAGCTTTTTAAGTTGTTCAAGTGTGTTAAGGGTACAGGACATTGACTTTTCCAGTGGATGGCACTGTATTTCTGGGAGAGCTGATCTGTAACTGCTGCATCTGGTAGTGGGCAGGGGCCTGGAAAGCGATGTGTGTGGCAGCTGTTGCTTGGTGTACCATTGATAACCCTCCTCTCTGGGTTTCACAACTGTGTCTCTGCAGTCTGTGGGCCAGGCTTTCAGTGTACCTTCGAGCCTAAAGGGCAGTGTTTGAGGGAGCTGTGATGTTCTGCACTTTGTCTTCTTCACTGTGTCCCTGCCTACCTGTCTCACCCTAGCACTTTTACACATTTCCACAGTTTCTTACTAAACAGCTCTGTGCTCCTCAGGACTGCCCTATCATGGAGGCTTGGTTTTGAACTGCAGTTTCTGCCCTGGCTGCTGTCTCCAGATGCCTCTCACAACTCACCTTTTGTTACATTGAGTTGAATTTCCTCAGCATCTCTTCTGTCACACATGGACAGCATAGGTCTCCAATGTCTATTTGGTACTCTAGTTTCTCCCCAAGTCATGCACTTCCCTGAATCCTGTGCCTCTCTGGACTACTTTAGATAATCCTTCTGGGACCAGTGCAGGAGCCTCCTCTGATGCCATCTTCCCCACTTACTGTTTTTTGCTTAGGGTTGAAATTTTCATGTAGGGATATTTCAATTAGGGGAAAAGAATGATAAGAAAATTAAATGAGATTAGTACTAAAATTCATACCACAAAAAAATATATATATTTATAAATAGATAGCTATATACAGGTGTTCACAGTAGCAAATGAGGACATAACTGAAATACCCATCTTGGTTAATTAAGTAAAACATAATTATGTAATTAAGTACACACACACATACACACACACAGTAGGACATTATTCAGCCTTAGAAATAAGGAAATTCTGATACACGCTATAGCATCATAATCTTTGAGGACATAATCTTTGAAGACATTCACTTATGCTAAGTGAAATAAACTAGACAAAAGGACAAAAACACTATGTTTTTGATGTGATGTCATTCCCAATATACAACCTTATATAAGGTATCTAAAACCACCTATTATATACCACCTATATAAGGTCTCTAAAACAGTCATATTCATAGAGACAGTAAGAAGGTGGTTGCCTGGGGCTGGTTGGGGAGAGGTTTAAATTGGGAGTTATTGTTTGGCAGATACAGAGTTTCAGTTTGGGATGATAAAAAGTTCTGGAAATAAATGGATGGTGGTCATTTCACAGCAAAGCAAATATATATAATGCCACAGAATTATACACTCAAAATAGTAAAATGTTAAACTTTATGTTTATTTTTCTACAATTTAAAAAAAAGGTTTATTAACTGTAAATCTGCAGTTACTTCAAGGTAAAATGTTTAAAAAAAATAGATAGGGAAAAATAGGCTTAGTCTCTTCACAATTTTTGTCTCTTTGTTAGAGTATTTGTTGTTTGTGAATTTATATTGATATTGTTGAAAGACTGAAAAATCAACTTGTGACTCCTGGAGTTTATTCCTGCCTCAGAGACTGAAGATCCAACTACATCCACATTGTTCAGTGGTGGGGTGTGTGCCCTGTAGCCCTTTTCATATCAGACTCACTGAACCCTTTGACTTTTTAAAAACAAGTATGATCAGGTAATAAATTCCCGTTGAAAGACTGGTGAAATAGTTAAACCATTTTAGACTTTTTTTTTTCCTCCCTATGCAAGTGTTTAGGAGAAAACAACCAAGTCACTTAGCTCTGGAGTCTTCCTGTCTTCCCAGGTTTACCTTGAAAGACTCCTAACGTATGCAGAGATCTATATCTGTCCGGCCAACTGGAAGCGAATTGTTCTAGGGGCAATCCTGCTGGCCTCCAAGGTGTGGGACGACCAGGCTGTGTGGAATGTGGATTACTGCCAGATCCTAAAAGACATCACCGTGGAGGACATGTGAGTGTGGGGTGATGACAGCGTAGTCAGTGTCCAAGGAGGGCTCCTTGGGAAGGAAACCACATGGTTTTTTGAATGGTCTTTGTAGTATAGAATGAATGGATTTCACTGAATGCCTATTGTGAGCTGTTACAAGGACATAGTTGTACAACATTTTATGTGAAACCCTCTATTTCTCTTCTTTGTGGGTATGAACAGGTACTGGTTTTGTAAAACCAGCAACATTCCTGCTTCCCTAAGGAAGTAAACATTTCCTTTATCTTAATTAGAAAGGCATAAACCATGCTGTTACAAGTCTGTGATACATTTCCTGGCTCTGTGTCTCGCTGCAGTCTGAACGAGTTAATGCCCTGCACAGCTTTTGTGTGTTTAACACCTTACCCAAAAAAATAGAAAGGCTAAAATACCTGTTTATGTTTAATTTCAGGGAGAAATTATTCATTACTTTGTCATGTTTTCCAAGTTTCTAAGTTGTCCTCATTTTCAGGGCTGCCTGTTCTCCCCCAATTGGGCGTGGAGCCTCACAGCTCATTAAAAGTGCCGTAACTGCCTCTCCACTCCCATATCTGTCAGGGTATCATTACAATTGGTCAGATTTGGGTAAAGATTTCTCAGAAGCTTGTAGGCCTATTGTCTGGCATCTCTAGGGTCCGGGGAGAAGGCAATAGTCTCAGAACTGCTTATGAGGAAGTTTCTGTTTTGGAACACACTCAATCCAGAGGAACAATTTATAGCTCTTTATTGTTAATAGGCACTGTGACACTGTTCTCACTACCAGTTTTTCTCATGTTGTTTGTTTAGTTTCCTTCAGGAAGCTTTAGGCTGGAGGTTTCCAGCAGTGTCCCAGTTCATATCCATTCCTCTGGGCCCAATAATTGTGGAGTAATAAGATCTTCACAGCAACTGTGACTGCTACCATAATGGGAGTGTTTCATGGATATATTCATTCCATATTCCTCACCAGCCAAGGGTCCTCCTTGCCTCTGGTCACTGATTCACTGGGCACCCATTTTTTTTTTTTTTTTTTTAATCTTAAATTTTATTTTTATATTCCCCCATACAATTGCAAACGCCCCATTCTGACCCCAATCCTTCCCCTCCCGCCCCCACCCCCCAAAAAGTGTCTCTGGTTCATAGTTTTTTGTTGATTTTGATTTTCACTTTCTTATAGTTATTCATTTTCCTGGTCCCTTATTTAAGTTTTCTAGATTCCTGCTATGAGTGAGACCATCCGGTATTTTTCTTTTTCTTTTTGGCTTATTTCGCTGAGCATGATCCCTTCCAGCGCCATCCATGTTGCTGCAAATTGCATGTGTTTATCTTTTTTGAATGCTGAGTAATATTCCATGGTATATATGTACCACATCTTCTTGATCCAGTCATCTACTTTTGGGCATTTGGGTTGTTTCCAAAGCTTAGCTATTGTAAACAGTGCTGCTATAAACATAGGGGTGCAGGTGCTCTTTGGAATTGATGTTTCTGTGTCCTTTGGGTAAATACCTAGGAGTGGAATTGCTGGATCATATGGAAGCTCTATGTTTAGTAGGTCCAGAAATCTCCACACAGCTCTCCATAGTGGTTGGACCAGTTTGCACTCCCACCAACAGTGCAGAAGAGTTCCTTTTTCTCCACATCCTCGCCAACATTTGTTGTTGCTAGTTTTTTTAATATGTGCCATTCTCACTGGTGTGAGATGGTATCTCATGGTAGTTTTGATTTGCATTTCCCTGATTGCAAGTGATGTTGAACATTTTTTCATATGTCTGTTGGCCATTTGCATTTCCTCTTCAGAGAAGTTTCTTTTTAGCTCTTCTGCCCATTTTTTGACTGGATTATTTTCTTTGTTGTTGCTGAGTCTCATCAGCTCTTTGCAGATTTTTGTGATCAGTCCTTTATCATTAGTGTTGGGTGGGCACCCATTTTTGTGGTGCACTGTGAAGCATACTTGTTTTTTAATGTTCCTAGTTCTTCTGATATATAGCATGTTCTTACTGTAGACCTGTAAAAATGCATTCCTGTGTCTCAATATTTTCATTATAAAAAGTAAGAAAATATAAAGAAATTTTTAAAGCAAGAAAATTTAAATTCTTGATTATATTTCAAGGTGAAACAGTAATTTTTATTCAGACCATCAAGGAAGTGAATATTTGGGTGAAAGGTAGTAAGAAGTGTTAACTTGGGCCTCCCAGGTGGCGCAGCGGTTGAGCGCTGGGTTGCGAAGCTGCCCGCGGCCTCTGCGGCGCCGGTTCGATCCCCGGCTGCTCCCCGGCCACCGGAGGAGGGTCCCACATGGCGCGCAGACCTCTCCTGCCGCCCGCTGCTCCCCTCAGCAGTGTACTTCAGTCCTTCTGCCTGCTCTGCTCCCCGCTCTGGCTCTGGTGAATTCTCTCGCCCTCCCGGCTTCTGACTGTACCCAGTGCTTATATAAACCAAACAAACAAACAAATAGATAAATAAGACATGCCTCTAGAAAATTAAAAAAAAAAAAAAAAAAAAAAGAAGTGTTAACTTGTTTTCTTTATTGGGGCTATTCTTTCATTAACTCCATGATATCATTTATTGGGGGTTATTCTTTCATCAATTCTTGGACATCATTTGACACTGAATCAATTGCATGCCTTGGGAATGACATCACAGTTGGCCCTACTTGTGTCTATAAAGTAGATGTATGACCAGTGACTGGGTGTGGGTGGGTAATGCCTATAAATATATACTTAACTACTATTTCCATTTTATGGGTCTGGATACTGAGGCCTAGAGAGGTTAAATAATGCTCCAGTAAACAAACAAGTAGGAAATCTTATTCCCCACTTTCTTAACCCCAGTGACCATTATAAGCTCGTCATAGACCACAACAGTGGAAATGAGATGTACTTTACCCTCAGGCTTTCCATGAAGAAGTGCTAACTAAATATCTGAACTGTTAATTTTTACATTTGTCATTATCTCCTTACATAAAAAGGTGAGAAGATAAAAAATAATAAGTAATTTGAAACTTTAGATACTTAGGCTCTATTTAGTGACAGCTTAAATTACCAAGTTAGGAAAAATCAAACCACTGCCAAGAATATTTCTAACACCAGCCACTGTTATGGCCACCATTCTGATAATAATGGCAGCAGTCATTGATTGAGCAGTTCCTAACCTTTGTCTACAGTAATTCATTTCTCAAGTTACCTGTGAAGGTATTAATGTGATTATTCACATTTTAATCTTATTTATTTATTTTTGTATAGAAGAACAAGGGTGCAGGCCAGAGGTGCAGGGGGTGAGAGGATGCACCAGAGACAGTGGGGAGCAGAACAAGTGGAGCTACTAAAATACACTGCTAAGGGTGAGACTAGAGGGGTCTGCTGCACCATATCTGGCCAGAGATCGAACTCAGGCTGTAGTGGTGATAGCGCTGAAACTTAACCCCTAGGCCACCAGGGAGGCCCACTGTTCACATTTTAGGATGAGTGTGAAACCTTGAGAATTTCACTAAGATACCAGGTCACTTGTTCATAACAAAGTCAAAATTGATGTTTCTTCTAAACAGTTTAAGATAAAATTAATTCAATTATTTAGTATTTAATAAGAAATAAAAGTTAAAGTCAAGATGTTTGGTCAAAATTTAATAACAGGGCCTCCCTGGTGGTGCAGGCGATTGAGCACAGCACTGTGAAGCTGTCCGCAGCCTCTGCAGCACGGGTTTGATCCTGGCTGGCTGGAGAGATATCCACGTGGCGCGACAGACCTCTTCTGTCTCGCTGCTTCCCTCAGCAGTGTATTTCAGTCAGTCTGCCTGTTCTGTTCCCCGCTCTATCTCCGGTGAATCCTCTCACCCTCCTGCACTTCTGGCCTGTACCCCAGTTCTTGTATACATGAATAAATAAATCTTTTTAAAAAAATTAATAACATATGCAAGAAATTAGAAAATGTGACCAAAGTTCATATAACTGAAGTTTAATATCGAGAATGCCTTTAAGAATATTTATAATATTCTTTCAGAGAACAAATCAGTGCCTTAAGCAGTTCTCAATTATAGTGAAACTGGATTTTTTTTCAAGTGCAGACAAGTAGTGGTAAAGGTTTTATTGAATGAAACTGCTTCAAAAAGAAAAGCATTAATATTTTAAAAGAACGAGGACTATGATCAGTCTAATAGTAGTCAGTAAGTTTGCAAACGTTTTATTCCATATAACCTGAAGAAAATTGAGAATTTTTTTAGCCTGGTTTTTGTTCCTGTCTGGAAGCTATTTGATGATCAGACTCCGTCATCATACCATACACTGATTGAGCCTCAGTGCTTCACAACAGCATTTGATGAATTCATCCAGCTGCATTGGCCGGGCAAAGAAGAATGCATACAGGAAGAACTTTTGTTCAAAAATTCTCAAATTGTAAACAGTTTTTTCCTGAGGAAACGCCCAAGTAATGCCCTTTCATTTCAATCTGCCAGACTTGAGAAGAGATTATCGGTAGGACTCACTATGAGCAGCCTGTGCCAGTAACTTCCTGTGCTCTCCCCCATTCTTGGCAGAGAGCTGGGACTGTAGACCCTGAGTCAGACCAAGTAGAAACTAGGCCAGACTGAAGTCTACCATTTGTTTTTGAGAGCTTTTGTGATCATTAGTAGTGTGGTTAATCTGTTATTATATATATTACCTTGATATAAGAGCCTATATGTTATAAGAAAAGCTCATTGAACAATTGCATATGTGCAAATTTGGGAAGGAAAATGCAAGTCCCTCCCCTTGCCCATTTGGATTCTCTCTAGGAAGGGATGTTCTCTCAAGTAGCTGATTGTTGAGATATAGAGGAAATTCCTCCCCACCCAGTCTGGGTTCTTCTAAGACTGAACTGATGAATAAGTTAACATCAGATGGATTAGAAGGAGAAAAGGTCAAAATTTAATAACAGATATGGAGAATGTACATGGTCATAAATCCCAAGGAATAGTGGAGTGGACTAGGGATATTTTTCCCATGTTTAGGGACCTGGGCACCAAGAATGGGGGG